AATTAAAGACACATAAAATTGAAATAGTAAAGGCAGAGAATGGTCATAGAGAATGGGAGGTAAATTGTAATTTCACGCCGCCAATTTATTCAGTGAGATGTGAATATTTTGTGTGTAGGAAAGGCATAAGTTTCCAGCAAATGTATCCATAGTACACAATAGCAATCACTTGATAATATGAGTTGGTCGAGTGTAATTAATCGTGAGGCATGAATGTTAACGTGTTTTCTAGATTTTAATCGTCTCAACTCTTTATGATAAATGAATCTCTTTCTTACTCAATCTGTTAAGGTGTACGCGATCGCAGGTTGAAGAGATGTATATACGAATTTCTTTCTACATCAAACACACCTCGTGCTCATATGGCAATTGAAGCAATTCAAAAGCGGAGAAGATATGTGTGCAGCTAAATTATAATATAAATTATAAATACTTTTTATTCCCTCACGTGGCAACGGGTCGATGATGAGCATCTCTCCTCCACTAACTAATCAATCCATGGAGGAGAGAATTTCATCATTATGAGAGGTTTTTTTTTCTTTCTATAAATTAATATTTCTCACTACTCGCCTAATTTTAAATATTATACTTTGTATACGGGAGAAAAGGCAAGTCTCGAGTGAGCGAATATCTTTGAGAAATTATGTATATAATACGTGAAATGTTTAGAGTTTAAACTACAGAAGTGTGTTGGTAAAGAAGGAAAAATATTAGAAATTATTATTGGAGATGTTGGTAAATTTATTGGTTAATAATGAGCTTTAGGAATTTATCGGCACATAAATTTTTCTAGAGTGATTTTTCTTGTTAATTGCACCACGTTTATTCTTGGTAATTTTCATAATGCAGAGAGCCATGAAGGAGTGGGAGAGATTCAAGAGGGAAGTGTAAGAGATTTTGAATAAAAAAAAAAGTGGAGGCTGTGAAGAATGCTGTTGTATTGATTCGATATGAAGTCTCTAAAATCTATTTTGGTATAAAATTGTTATACACAATCTATGAAATGGAACGCGATAATTATTCCACAGAGACTCGCTAAGTCGATAAAATTAACTGCTTGTTTGAGGCAATATTTCCTCAACTTCATCTCTCATTAGTAATTAATGATGCTCCAATTAATTCTGAGTTCTCACTCACTTTTATTAATCCATCCGTGAGTTGGTGAGATTGCCGACTGTGTCGGTATGTTTTGTGAAGCTGTGATTCTGTTGAATAACAAATGGTGGTACTTTCTCATAGGGTTATATCTCAACAGTTTTTTTCCTTTCTATCACAGCTTGTCTGGTTGTTTGAGGAAAAAATGAACCATATCGCATTAGGCATATAATCCTCTGTTAACATTAAGGCCTAAGAGAGCAATTAAAACTGTTTGGGTTTGATTTCTGTAATGAAATCATGAAAATCCTCAGACCCAAGATGAATTGGAATGAAGCCGTTGTGCCTCAAATTCAGCATCACAGCGGAAAATCACTTATCCGCAATGGTATCGTTTATCTCTTCGGGGAAATTATATCACAGACTCCATGTCTTATCTCTTCCTTCTTTGTGTGATTGTGTGCTGTGTATATCCTTCGTGATGGCCCAGATATTTCTCACAAGACTGGCCTCTTTGTCGGATTAGGCGCTCACCATAGATAAATGAATCTTCAATCGGAATGGGAAGAAAGTGTGTGAAATTAGGACATTAGTGTGGAAAAATAATGAAATATCTCCCCAAAGAGTCACTGGAGGAGAAAATATTGATGGTTGACTACAAAGAAATTCCCATGCAATGCGATTAATTCAGGGGTGAAAATATTTTGTCAAGAGTCTCCCTACTTTCTAAGCCATCATACTATCAATCTGTAGAAAAATTGTGGTGAAAAAATAGAGAGACCACAAGCAAGAGAACAACCTAATTATATTATCAAGGGGTGTTGAAGTGCATAACATTTTTAACACTCATTCGATGAGGGCCTGAACATTCCTATTGTTTGGCATGTCTGGCCCTGAAATCGGTGAATGGGGAGGGTGAGAAGTGCTAGGGAGTGTTATTATTAATTTCTATCATGTCCAGATGATTATTGTGAAAATGAATAAATTAACTCGGCTGAGACGATGGAGAAGGGGACAATCAGCAGATTATTGCCGTAACAAGGCGCACAAAGGGAGGACCAGCCCTTGTTTGTAGCTTTCTGCCGATATACCAAGCCATAATATTGGGAAATTTCTACACTTTTTCATCGGCAGTCAACAATGGGAGAAACGAGAAACCCCTGTGTTGAGCTTGCTGATCGGGGTCTCAAATGGGTCTTTGTTGAGCCACTCACAATGGGCTTAACAATGGATTGTTGACTTGATACACGTGCTGATGCCTTGCCGATGGACCCGTGCAGCATTTATTCCGTGTGTTTCCACACTTGAGATCAAACTACTTTAATATGAATATCTTCACTCAATCTCCTAAACATATTTTTTTTTGTCACAAATATTTCTCCTCTTCTCATTTCATCGCAAGATGAGAGCAATATTGTATACTCTCACCTCTTTTTTTTTTATCTATCACCTTCCGCACAATTCTTTTCAGTGAAATGTTTTGTGGGTTAATAGAGGAGATAAATTATTCATTTTGTGGTAACCTATTTCTGCGAAAAATTTTAATTTCTTCTCTTTCAAAATGAATGCCTCTCTTCTAGCCTAAACTCATTTTAATGGACAATGCCACATTAAAATATTGTCAGTATAAATTGCCATGTTATTGCTATGGGGCTGTTAATGAAATTTTTCAGGTGCGGTGTATTAAATGTGTGCATTTTATACTTTTATGATACGGGCATTTTGAGGTGCTTCTATTGCTATTTATTTTATTTACTATCGCCTTTTCAACAGCATAAAAATAACACAAGGTGGAGAAATGACAATTGTACACACCTCTTGATATGGGTCATTTATCAAAATGTGTGACTCTCCTGTCACAATAGTCATTGCCAAATTGAGCAAAAATATGCTTATATGATATTTTCACCAGAGTTTGCATGATTTTTTGCCCTGCAAATGGCATAATTGTCTCTGGAATCGCAAAAGATGGAGTGAAGAAAATGCAAGAACAATTTCATTGTTAGATAATGGGATAAGATGGAGTGAGAGAGAGAGGAAATTCTAAAAGTGTTTTATATGAAAGATTATTATTTGAGAAAATTGCACCGCTGAGATGCATGCAACTTATTCTTTTGACTGTTATATTCCTTCAATCAGGCGAACCACACACAATGGCAGAAAAACACCAGAAGCTCTCAATAGCATTGATATTATAATGATTATTATTTTACTGAACCAATAATATTTATACCATACTTTTTCATCGTGCTCAATATTCATCATTATATGGAGAATGGTTCCAAGCACACCACTGAAGTTATATCGTGGCGCATTCCTGCTTTGCGTACCTGGGACTAATATGTAAAAACACTCAAGAAAATTTGCCTTCAGCCACAAATTAAAATTTTTCGAGCAATTTGAGAGATAAAAGTGTATGTGTACAAATACAGAAAAGGGGGAATAAATTATAATAAAAGGTATCGGGACAATCAGTCCCAGTCATGGCAGTTTAAAGCTATACCCAAGGAGAAAAAGTCCCATATAAAAATAATGCACGTGTACTAAAAGATATATTGAAAGGAAGAGAACATGGAGCGAAGAGGCATTTGATGAAGATGCGGTGGTACACAAAGTATCAGAAAGGGAAATGAGCGTAAAAAATGTGTAATTCGGTTCCCCAAATCACGCAATATCGCCGAACAGGGAGAGATATTTAATACCTCACTGGTTATGCCTCACGAATAAAAGATCTTTTTTTCTGGACATTCTATCGATGATGGGTGATTTCTTGAAGCTCTCAAATCTCGCGATTATTCATGTACAACACACACACACCGCAGAAGGCATATTTGACGGGCAGATTGTGTGGAAGCCAGAGTAAAATGCTGTGATGTTCACTGACTGAATAATTAGGACTCCGGACTTGAAAGGTTGATGATGAAACTTCGCTATTAGATTGTAATTTGGATATATGTACATGCATGGAAAGGGGAAATTGCTTGCAAATGGAATATTTTGAAAATGTCTGGGAATAGCAATTAATTGTAGGAAATGTTTCTAAGTTTCAATTACTGGGAAATACCTGGATAATATCTCATTAACATTGGCGTCAACCAGTATTTGCATGAGATTTGTATGATAATTTGTGACAGAGTTGGAAATTTATTAAAAATCCGTGCGCCGTCTTTTGATTGTTAAGGCACAAGTCAAAAGAGGTCAAGAGATGCTATAAGAGAGACCTCATGTGATACTCTATCCTTTCATAATGTCAATGGGAAGTCGAGGGAGGTCGATTTGGGTTAAGTTAAAACATCAATTTGTATATTTGCTCTCCTCCCCTGGCGCTCATTTTTATTGTTATATGCCTCCTGCGAGTACACAAGAGGCCGCAACATTTTTGGTGGTTTTTGGTTGGAGGTGAAGAGAGAAAAAAAAATGTTATTAAACATTTTTCACGATGGGCCCCGCGCGCCTTGGCGGTTGAGGAGACAGAGAGATGCAAAGACGATACGCGAGGCATTATATTGAGTATATCGAGAGTCAATTGCAAATGAGGGAACAATAAAAATCGCCACCAGCAGAAAAGTGTCTGATGTGTTTGGGTGAGGAAAAAAGGGAGACTCTCCCCGGATGGTATTGGTTCTGGGCCAGTGTGTGGTTCAAGCTGCAGAGATAATTGAACACGCAACCCTTAAATGATGACGATGATGGTGATGCGATGTGTGGATGCCAATCATTATTTAAATTGGGACTAGTGGCTATAATTCATTTCGCATATAATATGATTTTTTTGTGTGTTGGCTCGGTAGAAATTTTTCCATCGATTGTGAATCACACATTTTTTTGTAATGATAGTATTTTTTGCCCAGTGCCCAAGTTATTAAAGTTTCCTCAATTATCTCTTTTCTTTTCTCTCTTTGCAGCTATACGAGATCAATGACGATCCCAAGAGAAAAGTATTCCTGGATGATCTCTTTTCATTCATGCAGAAACGAGGTGAGTCTTCATTTAATTTTGCAACTACTGTGAATTTGTGGGAATCAACCACAAAGCTAATTTATCGGGGAGTTTTGTGGTTCAATTCTTAGCGGGGAGGGGCTTTCATCAATTGCAATTTACACCTTGTATGGACTTTTGTTCACTTGACCACCATTTAATATTAAAATGATATTTAAAGAGTCTGCCGAAGAATGAGTTTAATAAATATTGAATTATTCACATGGGATCTTTGGCAGTGCAGAGTCATATAAAATTGCTGAAAGAGGAAGAGGTTGGTTAGGGCTATGTTTTGTTAATGTTCTTTCACACAGTTTAGCACCGTGATGAGTGTATAAATCGAAGAGGAAATGATGAGGAAGGGAAACCTTGAAATTGGATTCATAAAAATTGTAATTTGATTGCGGAGATGGAAAAAAGCTCCATAAATTGGCATTTAAAGGAATATCGATGGATTCATTCAAGAGATTATATTGTGAAGGTGCTAGTTAAGAAATAGTTGATTGGTCTTGCATATTATGCAGTCTTTTCTTCTCGATCCAAATATCCCGAAAATCGTATTAACGCTGATCATTTAATTGTTCTTCTGAGAAATGTTGGTGTATTTTTTTCTGTGTGCGGTATTTTCATTAACCTCTTCCTCTCTGTCTCACTCACAATTCGAACTTTTTTGTTTACAATCCCAATGAGAGAGCGAGAGAATACATTTGGATTCTCCCGCGTTTTAACATTGCGGCCCACCAGAAAAGCTATAAAATCCTTCAGCAAATGATTTATTGATGTCGGGGAGTATCAAAATCGATTATAGTCCTTTTGATTGTATTGCGAGGATTTTTTTTCAACCTCTGATGAAGCATATGTGCTTTTTTCGCGTCTTCATTTCATTCATTTGGATTTGATTAATTTTTCCACTGAACGAGAGGCATAAAACACAGAAGAAAGAATATAAATCTGAAAATATAAAATTCTGCTTTTTGACTTTTTGCCTCAACATAGAGAAGAATATATTCTTGAGAAACTTTTGATGCATTTTTCCCCTCCTTCATAGTTTATTCATTGGTGATTAATTGCAGTAGATGTTTTTTATGAAGCAAATTTTGGGTGATGAACCTCGCGGTATAAATTCTTCAAAAATTTTGCCAAATCAATAATTAACTAAAGATTTATATTTTATATGTAAAATGTTGCTTGATTAATTGAAAGAAGAATTGAGGAATTTGAAATTATTTAATTTCAAATCTTCCCAAAACATTTACATTTAAATTGAAATGCTGTTTTCACCGCGTAGAGTTGCTGAGTCGACTTTCAACCCCATTCTTTCACATTACATCCCTCTTGTGTGGAAATTTTTGGGTTCTGGGTGGAAGAAGTTGCAGTGCAACTCGATGAGCAGATTAAGCAAGGAGTGGAAAATCATCTTGATTGACATTATTACAAATAACTCAACGAATTCCCTCCACTTGGTGGATGATGCATGACCAGGCGAAAATTCATCTCAGTGAGTTTTATCACGTCGTTTGAGCATCTCGTTTGACTCCTCTCTTATTTTATTCTCACACTGTGTACAACTCGCAACGCTGGGGGGTTGAGGAAATGTGAGACTGGATGTGATGAGAAATCCGTGATTAATGATTGTTTGATTTCAATTAATTCCCTATAGTGGCATCCTCGTGAATAATTTGGTATTAAATTCTTCAAAGTCGTGTAATTCCAACATTTTGGGTTGTTTGTCTCAATAAAAAGTGGCGGTTAGAGCGAGGTAAGGAGGAGGAAAAAGTGGGCAGCTGGACGCAACTGGGTGATTTTTAAAGGTTCAAATTGAGAAACTCTTATTGCTATCTGAGGGAAAAACGACGAAAGAGAAGATGAATGAGGAAAAGCGTCATATCAAACTACGACTGAGGAGATTTTCAAAGGAAAACGCCGATTATTTTTCTTGTTATCCCCACCATTTCTCAAAACTACATTTAATTGTTCGTTTGATAGATCTCTTTCAATGTTGCTCGCTGTTTCGCTTTACCAAAGCGGCTTTAGTGTAATTCTACATAAGTTTTATTGTTAGCAACTCATGCATATCAAGGCAAAATTATTTCAAATTGCTTCCTTCATTGGATTTTCATTGATTGAAGCATTTTGCAAAGTCTTACTTCATTGATTGTATGATTTTAATTAAACAATCTTGATGATTTTCTTCATCTCAAACCTCACGCTTAATAGATTGAAATACAAGAATGCAAACACAGTGTTATTGTGTTGGTTTTACTACTCAAAGTCAATCAAACAAGAATAAAATGGCATGAAACTTATTGGACAACTTTGGCGACGTATTTCGTTGGGGATCATTGGAATCTCAAATGCGTTCTGGACACGTACGAGCATGAATAAATTATCGTCTTTTGTTGCAACAATGTTGTGTGTTAACATTCATGCTATTTTCCACAATCATCCAATGTGTAATAATTTTTTATACGCCTCGAAAGGGGAAAGAGAATGGCAAGTGTATAGTTGTAATATGAATGTGTCTTTCTTTGAAATATAGCAAATATTTCACTTCATTATTAACAGCATTTCTATTGACGCATGTAATTTTCTAATATCGTTATTATTGTGAATAATTTGTTTGGCGCATAAAAGGCGAGAATCCTTGAGAGAGTCTTCTCTTTGCGAAAATGCACCAAATATTTATGCCTCAATAATAGTCTGTAAAGTGTGTTGTGAATAATGGGACGAGATGTGGAGAAATTCACTATCAATCTGTGTGATCAGAAGGCGCGTTATGGTGTGATTAATCGATCTCCCAAATTGACTATGAGTTTTCTCAGCGTGAGACCAAGTGAATTATCATTTATTATACGCGTTGTTTAAAATAGAAGAAGTGGGGCATTAAAAATAAAAATATTCAATTCAGAGATAAATAAAAAAAAAGTAATACTCAGCGAGTCCGAATTATTTCACATTACGTATACTGTATACATATGTCTTGACACCCTCATTTAACGCCATTGATAAAATATAACTTAAAAATCCATTAAGTGCGTGGAAAAGAGAGTTCACAATATATTGCACTGTTCTCTGCAATTTCTCTAGAATTTTGATAAAAAGAACTCGGGAAATGTCAGTTACGTGCAAGAGGCAGAAAGAGCATCAAAATTTCCGCATTTGCATGAAGAATAGCATTAACACTCTATAGTGCCTACAGAAAGAGACACTTTATCTGTATTCCGGGAAAATTGCTGGTGTGCCAGGAACTATTTGCAATCTTTACGATTATGCACTTAATGGTTGTAAATTGCAATGTTTTTCGTGTCAGCTTGAATTAATGATGAAATTGGCAACATAAGCCAAAAAGCAAACACTCAGGGTCTCTTTCGCTCTCGCCTCTAAGTCACTCTCGCGGCGCGATAAGGTTGCCATCATAATTTCTCTAAAATTAGTTCATTTATTTGACAATTATGGCACATAAAATGTAACCAATTTACTCGGCGGGAGCCCAAAAACGGCAAAGAGAGTGAAAATGTTATGTGAGAAGTTGAATGGGGGAAAAGAGGGAAAAAAGGCATAATTTTCCTCGAACGTTAATATGATTTTTAGAGCATATGCAGAGGATCATTGCATAATTCTGAGAATTCAATTGGTCATTTTTATAGTGACTTCACGCTTCGTCCAATGGTGACGATCAGGCGTGCAAGTCTGATGGTGATTGAGGAGGAAAAATGTAAAAGGAAGATTCACAAACCATAAATTACATCGTAGCATTTGCATATAAACAGAAAACATGAAGGAATACGCTATATTCACATGTGAGAGCTGTGGGAGGAGGAGGAGGTGAGTGATGGAGCATCCCGAGAGTGAGAAAGAAATAGATGGGGTTTTAAAATGTACTAAATAGGAGTATGAGTACATCTTAAGTATTCTCCTCATTGAATGGGGAGCCACAAGAAAAAGGGACACGAGAGAGCGGCTGTGTGAGAGAAGCACCAACATGAAAATATTATTTTAAGATCAAAAGGGTGCCGATTTTTTTAATGGTCGACATTTAATTGTTTTTCCTCAGAAATCTCACACCAAACACAATTTATTCCGAAAGATTAAATAAACTGCAAATATGCATAAGAAGACTGTTAATGCCTTCTCATTCCCCGCGTACGCGCTGAATTGCAATTTAGCATTATTGCACATCTACGAAATTGTGTTACATTTTCATGTCACTGTGGCTGAGGGAGTGCGAAGGATTCTGCCTCTAAGCTTGCAGTGTGTCATCTCAATTTTGCACTAGGTGTAATAAATTAATTCTCTTATTAATGTCATTCATATTGTCAATGTGCATCTGAATGTTTACTGTCTCTTGAACTAATTTTAAATGCAAAAGAATTCAGATGAACTAACTAAATTCTCATGTATTTCGCGCACATAGTGAACACATTGAGTGGAAGAGACGGGGAAGATGTCAGGAAATTAAAGAAATTAATATAAATGATGAGGATGTGGTGCATGATTTTAATAACATTTTGATGTGAATTGTATCCGGAGTTGGGATAATATCAAAATGATGTCGCGGAGGAAGTTCTAAATAAATTTTCTTCTGAGATATTCTTGCATTTTAATATCAGTATTAAATGTCACATAATCGAAAAATGAACAAGTTTTAGGAGGTCATTAACTGCTCTTTTGCATTTTCCGTGACTATCATAGATTTCAGCATGGATCAAAATTGAAAGAGTGACTTGAGAATGTATTTGAAGAAGCGTGTAAATGTAAACTCTTTCTGTGCTGTGGAAATTGATGGTATTTTATAAATTTTCCACTTGAATTATCACTTTCTGGTGAATGTCACGAATGTGAGGCATATAAAAATGAGTGGTCACGAAAAAGTATATTTAATATGATCAATGGGACAGACACCCAGATGTACGAGAGGATTCTGAAAAGGTGGAACCTCAGAGAAGAATCTCCACACTTTCAGTGTGTTTCGATGCTTATGTCGCTTCCTCAAGTTTCAC